CTGCGAGGGAAAGAGGAGATAGAGGGGATGTGAATAAACTCCTACCATGACAATAAGTGTGAATATCACAGAGAGAGAGAGAGAGAGAGAGAGAGAGAGAGAGAGAGAGAGAGAGAGAGAGAGAGAGAGAGAGAGAGAGAGAGAGAGAGGAAGAGGAAAAGAGAAAGAGACAGAGGCAGATAGAAAGAGAGAGAAGAAGAAGAGTGAGAGAAAGAGAAAAGAAAGGGAAAAGAACAATTAAGAACCAAACCGTTCCTCCCTTCTGTCAACAATATAGTCCCCTAAACATTTGTCAACTAAATCAATCCACTGTCCTTCATCTGATCTCTGACAGGAAATCATTGCTCTCTCCCTCTCTCTCTGCCTCGTCCTCGTCTACTGCTCTTTCACACGCGAAGCAACAAGAAATGGAGAAAACATTACATTAGGCTTTTCTTCACATAGTAAGGGAAGTCAAGAGTCATCCACTGTACGTCATGATTATCATCGTTTACATTTTTATTATTACTATTACTATTACTATCATGGTGTTGCTACTATCATTATAATTATTATTACCATCATTATTGTCATTATTATTATATCTATTATTGATCTTGTTATTATTGTTATTATTATCATTATTATCATATCTATTATTGATCTTGTTATTGTTGTTATTATTATCATTATCATTATTGCTGTTATTATTATTAGTAGTAGTAACAGTAGTATCATTATCCTTCTTATTCTTATTCTTATTCTTATTCTTATTCTTATTCTTATTATCATTATCAATTTGATCATTATCATTAATACTGCGAATATTACTGTTGTTAATGTTACTTATACTATCATCACTATTTTTATTATTTTCCTTATTATCATTATAATTAGTACTATTATTGCCACTATTATCATTATCATTATTTTTGTTATTATCATTATTATATTAGCATAATAATGATAATGATAATAGTAATAAAGATAATAATAATAATGATAATAATAACAGTAATAATAGTTATGATAATAATAATAACAATAATGATAATAATAATAGTAATGATAATGATGAAAATAATAGTAATAATAATAATAATAATAATATAAATGATGATAATAATGATAATAGTAACATTAATAACAATGATAATAATTTCTACAATGATAATGATAATTATCATTATTATTATCATTACCGTAATTGTTAGAAATGATCATCATTATTATTACTATAACCGTTATTATTATTATTATTATTATTATTATTATTATCATTATTATTATTATCAACATCATTATCATGATAACTTTTATCTTTATCATCATTATTAGTGCTATCATTACTATTATCATCACTGTTATTATTATCATAATCACACGCATAATAATGATAATGATAATAGTAATAAAGATAATAATAATAATGATAATAATAACAGTAATAATAATTATGATAATAATAATAACAATAATGATAATAATAATAGTAATGATAATGATGAAAATAATAGTAATAATGATAATAATAATAATAATATAAATGATGACAATAATGATAATAATAACATTAATAACAATGATAATAATTTCTACAATGATAATGATAATTATCATTATTATTATCATTACCGTAATTGTTAGAAATTATCATCATTATTATTACTATAAACGTTATTATTATTATTATTATTATTATTATTATTATTATCATTATTATTATTACTAACATCATTATCATGATAACTTTTATCTTTATCATCATTATTAGTGCTATCATTACTATTATCATCACTGTTATAATTATCATAATCTTTATTTTTATTATTATTAACATAATCATTATTAACATTATTATCATTATCATTATCACCCTCACTGTTGCTGCTATCATTATCATAATCATCATTGTTGTTACTACTATAATTATCATTCTGACTATCACTTTCATCATCATCATAACTGTTTTTACTACCGTTATTATTATTCTCGTCACCATGACTATCAAGACTGTTATCATTACTACAATTACAGTTAAAAATATTCTAATTACACTTATTACCATATTCATCCCTATTATTAAATACCCTCACTATATTTTTTATATAAAACGCAAAGGAAGTCACATACGAAGAAATTACAAAAAAAATCTTCGTGGACCTGCCGTCCACTCCAAACCACAGGTATCAAGACACGTCGAGAGTCGGCAAGACATGTCGATAGTCAGGAAAACATGTCGAGAGTCGTCAAGACACGTTTGAGAGTCTGCAAGACATGGCGAGAGTCAGCAATACATGGCGAGTCAGCGAGATATGTTAAGAGTCGGCAAGACCTTCCGCGAGTCAACAGATTACGTTCGAGAGTCAGCAAGACACGTCGAGGATCAGCAAAAGACGCTGAGAGTCATCAAAAAAAGTCGAGAGTCAGCGAGACACGTTCTAGATTCAGCAAGACACGTCGAGAGTCAGGTAGACATGTTTGAGAGTCGGCAAGACTTATCGAGAGTCAGCAAAACACGTCAAGAGGCAGCAAGACACATCAGGATTCAGCAAGACACATCGAGAGTTAGTCCCGTACGTCATCAGGGTTTGGGGTTCACTCGGACATCAGTGTGAAGTGTGGCTGTCCGCCGAGGAAGTCACACGACAAACTGAGGGAAATTTATGGGTAATCGCGGCACGAAATCCTTCCCCCTTTATCGTAGGTTTCCTTGACATGTCCTCACATCCCGCGTTGTATCCTGTTTATCTATTTTCCTTCCCCCCCCCCCCCCTCTCTCTCTCTCTCTGTCTGTCTGTCTCGCTCGCTCTCCTTCTCTCTTTTTCCTAACTTATCACTTTCACTATGAAACACGCACAAATACATACACACGCGCGCGACTTGTTTGGAACACTTTAGTTTAAAAAATAAAACAGATGACCTTTAACTTTCTGACATGACTAAGAATGGGGTGGGGGATTTCACGGTGTCCTCGTGAGGGGGGAGGGGGCGGAGAAAGGGGAGACGGGGGAGGGGGGCGAAGCACGAATTACAGGGAGGGGCGAGAGGGGGATATGGGGAAGGAGTTGGGGGAAGGGAATGGGGCACGGGACATGTGGAGGAGGGAGGGGGGGGAAGGGAAGAAACTAGGGGAAAGGGACGAGATAAGGGAAGGGGCGGCGGAAAGAAGGGGAAAGGGGAGAGAAAGAGGGAGAGGACGATGGAAAGAGAGGCCAGGAAAGAGAGGAGTGGGTGGGGAAAAAAAGAGGAGGATGAAGGGCGAAAAGAGGAGAGAGGTGGAGAAAGAGGGATGGGGGGGGCGAGGAGGAGGAGGAGGAGGCTGGTTGGAGGAAGAGGGGGAGAGGGTGGCTTGGGGGTCCATAAGGCACGGGCCGCCCTAGAAGCCTCAGTGATGAGGCCGAGGGAGGCCAAGGGCTCAAGGTCGCGGCGGGGTCTCGTGCCGGAGGGAAAGGGGGGAGGGGGCCACGCGACCCCCTCATCTCCACCCCGAACGCCGCGCCCGCAACACCGCCGCGGATATTGAACACTCCTGCTCTTCATCCCCGGAGTCTCTCTCTCTCTATCTCTCTCATTCTCTCTCTCATTCTCTCTCTCTCTCTCTAACTCTCTCTCATTCTCTCTCTCTCTCTCTCTCTCTCTCTATCTATCTATCTATCTACCTCATATCTCTTTCTCTCTCTCTCTCTCTCTCTCTCTCTCTCTCTCTCTCTCTCTCTCTCTCTCTCGCTCTCTATCTCATCTCTCTCTCTCTTTATTTATTTTTCTCTCTCTCTCGCTCTCTATCTCATCTCTCTCTCTCTCTCTCTCTCTCTCTCTCTCTCTATCTACCTACCTCATATCTCTTTCTCTCTCTCTTTCTCTCTCTCTCTCTCTCTCTCTCTCTCTCTCTCTCTCTCTCTCTCTCTCTCTCTCTCTCTCTCTCTCTCTCTCTCTCTCTCTCTCTCCCTCTCTCTCTCTCGCTCTCTATCTCATCTCTCTCTCTCTCTTTATTTATTTTTCTCTCTCTCTCGCTCTCTATCTCATCTCTCTCTCTCGCTCTCTATCTCATCTCTCTCTCTCTCTTTCTCTTTTTCTTTCTTTCTTTCTTATCTCTCTCTCTCTCTCTCTCTCTCACTTTCTATCTCATCTCTCTCTCTCTCTCTCTCTCTCAAACTCTCCCTCCCTTCCTCCCTGTCGTGTCGTCTCGTCTCGTCTCTCTTGCCTCGTTTCCCCTCTCTCTATCTCTCGCTCTCTCTATTCCTCCCCCCTTCTCTTTCTCTCCCTTCCCCCCCTCTCTATCTATCTATTTATTTATCTCTCTCTCACTCACCCTAGTCTCTCATCTCTCTCTCTCTCTCTCTCTCCTCTCTCTCTTCTCTCCCTTTTTCTCTTTATCTCTCTCTCTCTCTCTCTCTCTCTCTCTCTCTCTCTCTCTCTCTCTCTCTCTCTCTCTCTCTCTTCTAGTCAACCCTTCCCCCCTCTCTCTTTTCTTGTCAATCCCTCTTCTTCTCTCTCTCTCTCATCTCTCCTACCATCTATCTATCTCCTCACTCCGTCTCGCTTTCTTTTCTTCTTCTCCTCTCTCCCTCGCTCCCCCCCTCCCCCCCTCCCCCATCTTCGTCCGAAAATCCTCTTTTCCATCAACGTCGCGGCGACCATGGCAGGATAGAGCTCTTGTTACCTGCCTTCCCTTGCTCCTTGTTGCTGGGTTTGAGGGGTGGCACGTAGGGAGGGGAGAGGGGGGGGGTCGTGGCGGGGTAGAGGACGGTATGAGGGTAGAAGGGGAAGAGAGAGGAGAGATGAAGGATGGGAGGACAGATGAGAGAGGAGAGATAATAAGAGAAGAGAGAGAGAGAAGATAGATAGATAGATAGATAGATAGATAGAGAGGAAAGAGAGGAGAGAGGAGAGAAGTAAAGTGAGAGAGAAGAGAGAGGAAAGAGAAGAGAGATGAGATAGGAAGAAAGAAGAGAGATGGGAGAGAGAGAGAGAGAGTTAGTAATGAGTTGACTTGCAGGATGAAGCGAAAGATGAATATG